TCAAAATAACAGAAAACAAAAAAATGGCGTCTGCAAAAGTTTGGGCCCCCTGCAGAATTTATAGCATGCACTGCCCCCTTTGCCAAGCTGAGACCTGCCATGTCATGGATTGTTCTCAATCATCGTCTGGGAAGACCAGGTGATGTCAATCTCAAAGGTTTTAAATGCCCCGACTCATCTGACCTTGCCCCAACAATCAGCACCATGGGTTCTTCTAAGCAGTTGTCTAGAAAACTGAAACTGAAAATAGTTGACGCTCACAAAGCTGGAGAAGGCTATAAGAAGATAGCAAAGCGTTTTCAGATGTCAATATCCTCTGTTCGGAATGTAATTAAGAAATGGCAGTCATCAGGAACAGTGGAAGTTAAAGCAACATCTGGAAGACCAAGAAAAATATCAGACAGAACAGCTCGCAGGATTGTGAGAAAAACAATTCAAAACCCACGTTTGACTGCACGATCCCTCCAGAAAGATCTGGCAGACACTGGAGTTGTGGTACACTATTCCACTATAAAGAGATACTTGTACAAATATGGTCTTCATGGAAGAGTCATCAGAAGAAAACCTCTTCTACGTCCTCACCACAAAAATCATCGTTTGAACTTTGCAAATGAACATATAGACAAGCCTGATGCATTTTGGAAACAAGTTCTGTGGACCGATGAGGTTAAAATTGAACTTTTTGGCCGGAATGAGCAAAGGTACGTTTGGAGAAGAAGGGACACAGAATTTAATGAAAAGAACCTCTGTCCAACTGTTAAGCATGGGGTTGGATCAATCATGCTTTGGGGTTGCGTGTTGCAGCCAGTGGCACAGGGAACATCTCACGAGTAGAAGGAAAAATGGATTCAATAAAATTTCAGCAAATTTTGGATGGTAACTTAATGCCATCTGTGAAAAAGCTGAAGTTAAAGAGAGGATGGCTTCTACAAATGGATAATGATCCTAAACACACCTCGAAATCCACGGGGGATTACATCAAGAGGCGTAAAATGAAGGTTTTGCCATGGCCTTCACAATCTCCTGACCTCAACATCATTGAAAATCTATGGATAGACCTTAAAAGAGCAGTGCGTGACAGACAGCCCAGAAATCTCAAAGAACTGGAAGACTTTTGTAAGGAAGAATGGGCAAAGATACCTCAAACAAGAATTGAAAGACTCTTGTCTGGCTACAAAAAGTGTTTACAAGCTGTGATACTTGCCAAAGGGAGCAGTACAAATATATTAACTCTGCAGGGTGCCCAAACTTTTGCAGACGCCATTTTTTTTGTTTTCTGTTATTTTGAAAGTGTAAATGATGGAAATAAAATCTAACTTTTGTTGACATATTATAAGAATGTCTAATCTGTAATTTGATGCCTTTTGGAGATTTTTCCATCTTTCCTTGGCTTCTTTATGCACATTAATACAAATTTTTAGCTGGGGTGCCCAAACGGTCGATCCCCATTGTATGTATGGCGATTGTGTACAAACAACATTGTACACAGGAACATTAGTCTGGGCAGATAGAGTACGCTGAGATGCGATGAATGTGTGCTCCTTACACTAGTGCATTTACCAAAAATATAAAAGCAAGCTGTATGGTTATGTTCACATGCAATTGTGTTATTGGGCCTCAGACAGGGGCATATCTACTGCGAGGCAAACAAGGCGTTTGCCTAGGACGGCAATTTTTAGGGGGGAGGTACCGCCCCCCGGAAGAGGGGACCTTGTGAGCAGCGGTGGACAGAGCCATGCAGAGCCGCCATCAGAGGGGTAACTTTGGTACTCTTTCAGTGACTCGGACAGCAAGAGGATCGATGTGGGGGAGGGCAGTTGCAGAGCGATGCTCCTGTACCTCTCCCTCCAGCAGCTGAGGACCAGGGGACAGCCTGGAGCAGGAAGAGGAGAGCCCGGAGGAGGCGAGCTGTGCTGTGTTCTGTGGGATATCCCTGCCTCCCTCCCTACACTGACAGATCGAATGGGACTGCACACACCTCCCCCCCCCACTCCCCTTTCTGCTGCATGGAGATCAGCAGCCCTTGGTGCAGGTGTGTGTGCAGCCCCATACAATCTGAGAAACGGAGAGAGGGGGGAAGGGAGAGGAGGGAGAGGAGAGAGGGAAGAGAAGAGAGAGAGGGAAGAGAGAGAGAGGGAAGAGAGAGAGAGAGGGAAGAGAGAGAGAGAGAGGGAAGAGAGAGAGAGAGGGAAGAGAGAGGGGGAAGAGAGAGAAAGAGGGAAGAGATAGAGAGAGACGAGAGAGAGGGAAGAGAGAGAGAGAGAGAGAGAGAGAGAGAGAGGGGAGAGAAAGAGGGAAGAGAGAGAGGGGAGAGAGGGGGAAGGGAGAAAGAGGGAAGAGAGAGAGTGGGAAGAGAGAGAGAGGGAAGAGAGGGGGGGAAGAGAGAGAGAGAGGAAGAGAGAGAGGGGGGAAGAGAGTGGGAAGAGAGAGGGAAGAGAGACGGGGGAGAGAGAGAGGGAAGAGAGAGAGATGAGAGAGAGAGAGAGAAAGGGGGAGAGAGAGAGACGGAATAGAGAGGGAAGAGAGAGGGGGGGAGAGAGAGAAAGAGAGAGAGGAGGGAGAGAGAGGGAAGAAAGAGAGAGAGGGAAGAGAGAAAGGGAGGAAAGAGACAGGGTGAAGAGAGAGAGGAGGAAGAGAGATGGAAAAGAGGAAGGGGGGGAAGAGAGAGAGAAGGGGGAGAGAGAGGGGAAGAGAGAGCGGGGGGAGAGGGAGAGAGAGAGAAGAAAGTGAGAGGGGAGAGAGAGAGAGGGGAAAGAGAGAGGGAAGAGAGAGAGGGAGAGAGAGAGAGAGAGAGAGAGAGAGAGAGAGGGAGAAAGAAAGGGAGAGAAAGAGAATCATATATACATACACAGTTATTCACTCTCTCATTGGGGGGGCGCAAACGTTTTGTGTTGCCTAGGGCAAGAGAAAATCTAAATAGACCACTGGCCTCAGAGGTCACCATAACCTGAAATCATCCTATTAAACAAGGTGAAGAGATGGTTATTATCACAGAAATTAACTCAGATGTCTATTACAATAATTTTCTATAGTAGGATAGACAGAGTCATAACTTTCACCACATTCAAGTTCTGGGGAAATCCCTTTTCCAATTCCATTTCCAGGAATGGGGGCAGATATGGCGGGCCTATTCAGCCCCCTATTGTGGACACCGTAAGGAGGGGACCTTTAGCTAGACCCATCAAAGATAGATGACAGTTTTCTGATGTTTTATTTACTGGTATTAAGCCCTAATGAATCCTATACATAGGAGGCTTTGGATTTGTTGATGAATTTTGAACTATTGAAGTCTGATTAAATATGCAGTATTTCATGCTATGGTAACTCCTTTGTATCTACCCTGAATTACTAGCAACTTCACAGTCTGATTTATTTTGGCTTGATATACAGAGTTTTTCCTTTTTCTAGGTCTACGTTGATGCGGCTTCACTTAACACTGAATGCACTGAGATGGATATCTCATAACTTCTTGACTACTGTGTTTATGTGACTTGGGCTCTGACCCAATGTTAGTCTCCAATTCTGAAGCTTTGGATGGTGCTCATATATTTATTTATTATTTATTTCAGGTACTTATATAGCGCAGTCAATTTACACAGCACTTTACATATATTTTGTACATTCACATCAGTCCCTAACCCTCAAGGAGCGTACAATCTAAAGTCTGTAACTTACATTCATACATACACATACTAGGGACAATTTAGACAGAAGCCAATTAACCTACCAGCATGTTTTTGGAACGTGGGAGGAAATTGGAGTACCCGGAGGAAACCCACGCAGACACAGGGAGAACATGCAAACTCCAAGCAGATAGTACCGTGGTTGGAATGATATATTCTTAATTCTATATTTTATATATATATATATTGTGACATTATGAAAGGCGAGGTGACCGGTGGATGCTTTCTGTCACCTCGGATGCGGTCATATCTAGGACATTAAGGTGGAGTCCAGTCCGGGTTTTCCAGGCCACTATGGCAGAGGTGGTTCCGGACCAGTTTTTGTGGTGGTATAAATAAGGCAGGACTGGAGCAAGAAGTTGCTCTTGGCCTGGGACTCAGAGAGCCATATCTGAGTGAGCTGTGGATGAAAGTTTTGCATTGTACAAGATAGGAAAAGGTTTGCATACTGCTTTGATTTTGTTGGTGACAGGGAGAAGCCCTTCCCCGGTGAGATAGGAATCTGCTGTATTTAGTTAGTGCCTGGATGGCGAGGGTTTATTTTCTGTTTTGTTTGTTTAAGATGCTTGCAACCTTTTGAATAAATGGACGACAAGTCAGATTTTACGAAAACCCTGCTGTCTGGACTACCTTTTTCCCAGGGAAGGTGATCCCCCACCTGAGCTACCCCCACAATATATACACACATATATATATATATATTATTATATCTTACTTCCCTCTTAGCTTTGCTACTATAGTATTGTTGTAAGGTTACTAGATGGTTCTCTACAAAAAGGTTCTTTTTTTCTTCTATACAAATATGAATATTTTGGTATTTTTTCAGCTGCATAGGTAGTGTGCCTGGCAATGTTGGTACCTCTGTTTGGCCCTTTGTCAGCATGAGTTCACAACCAAAATTATTTGGTTTTAAATATGAATTCATGCACATGTCAGATACATTTTTAATCTTTGTATCAATAAATATATTATTTGTATATTATTTTGTTGTCAATGGGTACTGAGATAGTCCATTTAGTCCAATTTTTGGAGTATTCCCCTCCAGTTCCTTTAGTCATTTTTAATGATGGTAACCCTATTTTCTTCCATGTAGTTGTTAATAATTGTTTGAGGCTCTTCATTCAATTATAAGCTGCAGATGAAATAAAAGGATGTTGTTTTATATTGGCGTAGAAAAAATATAATTATCTGGTTCACATACCAACCAGAACACTGCCTGCATGGAGTTTGCATGTTCTCCCCTTGCTTGCTGTCACTAGTATGCATGCAAGTGAGATTGGGACCTGGAAGACAGGGACTTACAGGGGCGGACTGACCATTTAGCCACTCGGGCACTGCCCGAGGGCCCGGGGTCAGTAGGGGGCCCCATGTGATGACCCTGGTACCTTTCATAGGAATTTTTGGGTGTGGTTTGAGTGTGGGTGAGGGCACAGGGGCCCCATGATTTCCTATTGCCCGGGGGCCCCATGAGTTGTCAGTTCGCCCCTGGGGACTGATATGACTGTACGATAAGTAAAGCACTGCATACATTGCCTGCACTATGTAAATAGTTGTAATATATCTTGCAACAAAATATCCAATGATTCTGCAAAATTCATCAGTGCTACACCCAGTAACTGTATAAAACATTGCTGTTGGATTCAAGTCGAAACACAAAATCAGTTGGCTTGCTGCAACACTTTTAAAATACAAAAGTCAGCTTGCAACAATTATCTGGTGATGTTGAACAATTCAGCACAACACAGGACTGTTCATTGTATGAAAGGATGCTTTTAGATTGGTTTGAAGACCACAAAAAAATTACATGGCTTGCTGTGACACTTCTAAAACCCAAAAAAGTCAGCTTGCATCCATTATCTAGAGATGTTAAACAATTAAACATAATGTGACACCAGTAACTGTATAAACAGATGCTTTCAGAAGATGAACACAATGATTTGGCTCCCAACGACACATCTGAAGCTTAACAAAAAGTTTAACAAATGATTGCTTGCATGTCAAGTGTTTCATATCAATTGTATACAGCAACTGTGCAAATGTCACTTTCTGATTTGGGTAGAAACACAATGGATTATCTGGCCCAAGGTGACATATTTTAATCACTCGCTGACTGCGCTATAGTCCAATGATGACTACAGTGCAGTCGGCTGGTTCTGGGAGGACGTCTATTGATATCCTCTCAGAACTCCCCACAAGGAAGAAAAATATACAGTATTTTAAATATATTTTAAAAATATTCTTCCCAAATATATTGACATATATTTGAAATATTACAATTTTGGCCGTATTCAATATACTTCAAACTATGTTTATATATATATATATATATATATATATATATATATATATATATATAGTGGGAACTCGCTTATTAGTGGTAGAGCTTCTTCAAAGCACACGGCACTCGCTTCTTTAAGGGCCTTTTTGCCCACTTTTATTTAAATGAATGTTCACATAACACAAATGCTTCCCACACAGGGGTATCCACGATCAAACAAATTCAGCCTTCTGGCTCTTTCAGCTACACAGCTCACTGTCTGTCTCCTGCAGACTCTTCCCAAATTATGACCACTAGCACACAGCTAGTCTGGCTTCCACCTGCCTCCAAGGCAGAGACCTCCCGTCTGCCAGGCTGGAGCCCTCCTGACTCTGTTTGCCGGGGTGGAGCCCTCCTGCCTCCTAGGCAGAGACCTCCCGTCTGCCTGGGTGGAGCCCAGAATCATGGCCTGGCCTCCCCTAAAAGGCCTGCACACACCTGGGCAATCAGCACGCTGGCTGCTCCCAAAATATGGGCCCAGGATTGGAGATTTCACCCCTCCCAAATCTCTAAGAAATAGGCTACAGGTCCCAAAACAGGCTTTACAAACCAAAGAGGAAACTGATAAACCAGTTTCCTCTGCATTAGGAGATCTGCCTGGAGCCCCTCAACCTCTATGGTTGAGAATCCTGGGTCTCCATCGTTCTTTCCACCGTGGCAGGATACCGCACTGCCACAATATACACACACATACTATATGTTGAAACGCATTTTTTATATTTTCAAAACATACAAAAAATATTTTTCAAAATACATTTTCAAATATACTGTATGTCTTTAACCACTTCTCACCCGGCTGTCATTTTACTATAGGACGTCATATGACATTCTTCCCAGATAGCGCTTTGCACGTGCCCGCTGGGCCGGGCTGTGGCGAGATCTGTCACTAGCTGTGTACCTCAGACATGGCCGATGACAGATCTGTGGACCAGTGCCATTGCCAGTACCATGTGACGTGCTGTTACCAATCACAGCAGGTCACATGACAGTTGTATACAATGGGTGGCTTCCTTTCATGCCATCCATTATATACTGTACAAGTGTGTCTAGCTGTGAATGGTCACAGTGATCACATGCACGGGCTGGGCCAATCACAGCCCATTTGTGTCATGTGATTAGCCGTGGTCAATCACAGCTAATCACAACAAAAAACCCTGAATGAATCGATTTCATTCAGTTAAATGCTTGCTTATAGCAAAGAAATTATTTGCTATAAGCAACCAAATAAAAAAAAAATACTGATTACTTCCCCAAAGTAGTACATTGTTACTATGGTAACATTATATTGCTTTGGTCATAGTGTAATATGAAAAAAAAAATCTTAAAAAAAAGAGAAAATAAGTAATAAAAAATTAAAAAATAATTAAAAAAAAGTTAAAAAAATTAACTTTTTTTTTTTTTTCGTACTGTCACCAGTCAGTGTCCCTGATCACCGCCATACCAGTTATATGATGATGCTGTACTGCACTGGTGACAGGATGTAAATATAAATTGTGAAAATAATGTTTTAATTTCTTAATCTTCTAAAAAATTATAAATTCAAAAAACTCGCCATGCCTCTTATGAAATACGTCGGACTGTCTACTTTGCAAAAAGGGGTCATTTGGGGGATATCTGTACTGTCCTGACATTTGGGGGGATATCTGTACTGTCCTGACATTTGGGGGATATCTGTACTGTCCTGACATTTGGGGGATATCTGTACTGTTCTGACATTTGGGGGATATCTATACTGTCCTGACATTTGGGGGATATCTGTACTGTTCTGACATTTGGGGGATATCTGTACTGTCCTGACATTTGGGGGATATCTGTCCTGTCCTGACATTTGGGGGATATCTGTACTGTTCTGACATTTGGGGGATATCTGTACTGTCCTGACATTTGGGGGATATCTGTACTGTTCTGATATTTGGGGGATATCTGTACTGTCCTGACATTTGGGGGATATCTGTACTGTTCTGACATTTGGGGGATATCTGTACTGTTCTGCCATTTGGGGGATATCTGTACTGTCCTGACATTTGGGGGATATCTGTACTGTTCTGACATTTGGGGGATATCTGTACTGTTCTGACATTTGGGGGATATCTGTACTGTCCTGACATTTGGGGGATATCTGTACTGTTCTGACATTTGGGGGATATCTGTACTGTTCTGACATTTTTGGGCCTCAAGAAAGTAGATTGACTGTCAGTACTTCAGGATTGATCAATATTCAGATCTATACCATAGTTTGTGAACTCTATAACTTTCCTACTAAATGATAAACACTGATTTGGGTTATTTTCACCAAAGACATGTAGCAGAATTCATCTCGGCCTAAATTTATGAAGAACATTTATTTATTTGCAAACTTTTATAACAGAAACAAAGAATTTTTTTTTTTTTTTTTTTTCAAAATATTCAGACTTTTTTGGTAATTTAGCAAAAAATAAAAACCCCAGCGGTGATTAAATACCACCAAAGGAAAGTTCTAATTGTGTGAACAAAATGATAAAATTTTAGTTTGGGTACAATGTTGTATGACCACGCAATTCAAAGTGTGAGAGCGCTGAAACCTAAAAATTGGCCTGGGCAGGAAGGGGGTAAAAGTGCCTGGTATTGAAGTGGTTAAAAATGCATTTAAAGCCGCAGCCAGCATACCTGGCTGCAGCAGCCCCATCTGCTCTGCCCACAACCTGGCTGTACCAATCAGCTGTATTCCTTCTCCACCACTCTTCTCCTTTTCACCAGCTCCAGCCATTCCCTCACTCTGATCAGCTTCCTCAAACTTCATGCTGCTGCTCGGCTCCTTCTCTCTGCCTGTGCTTTCTCTCAGCTATAGATACGGCGGCCAATCACCGACGAGGAGGTGGAGATTATAGAGGGAGGGGCAGGCTGCCATAGGCCACCCAGTGATCCAAGGGGTGTGACCAGAGAGGGGCAGCATGTCATCCCGCCCACATCACGATCCACCCAGGAAATGAAGACACCGGAGGGACACCCTCTCTACCCGTCTTCCAGCAGCACTTTGTGGACCAGATCAAAATGAGACACGGACACAGGTAAGACACATGTCCTAAGTGTCACTTCTGTGGGAAAGAGGGGGGCCCCCACCGTGCCAGCCCCCTGAAAAGTGCTGCCCTAGGAAAAACACCATGTTTGCCTCCTGGAAAATACGCCCCTGCTTATATGCATAAGAGCAGTGGACATGAACTGACCAAAAGAGACAAAAGGACATTGCGAAGGATTGTGACCCGGAATAAGAAAACAACTGCTGCAAAAGTCACTGCAGAGCTCAATCTCAGTCCCATGAAGACTCTGTGAATGTCCTAGAGTGGCCTAGCTAGAGCCCTGACTTCAACCCTACTGAGCATCTCTGAAGAGACCTGAAAATTACTGCCCACTGACGGTCCCCACCCAACCTGACTGAGGTTGAAAATCAGCAATAAGTAATGACATTAGAAAACAGTGACAGAAATGATAATCAATACTTCAATAACTCCTCTGTAAACTGTAGGTTATATCCATTTTAGAGTGCACTCTATATAAATGGCAACGATTACATTTAAAACTCCCCGAAAGAGGTGCCCCTTACTATGAACAAAAGGCAAAGTTCTTGTGAGCAGCTATCTGAGCGAGTAATCTTTAGCCCTAGTTTTTCAGCCAGCTAATGTTGGGGCCCACTCTTTGCAGAGGTGCACAAGAGTACAGTCCATGTAAAGTCAGCATGCAGTAAATTATGCTGCTAATTACATGTTGCTGCTAGCAGAGACTGAGCACATAGGAACTGGCCATCTAATGGCAGCAGTGTCCTCTCACCAGTCCCAGCAATACAGCAACAGGGGTCTCTCTGTCCAGAGGTCAGCTCACTTCTGGATCTGCCAAGAGCGAATCCAGTCTTCAGCACATGGCTGCAGACTTGTGGCATGTTGATGTGCACATAGGAGCAGTAATGTACACACCTCAGTCTCTTCACAGTAAGCAAAAAGTCCCTCATTATTCAGAATATGAAAAATATAACTCTCTCTCTACCTGGCTCACACTGGGAATTGTAGTCTAAATGCCTATAGGCTTCTATAGTAAAGTTTCTTCATTGAACTGAAATGATTAATTGCTGCCAACCATCAAGTGTCTTGAGCTCCTGCTTGTCAGCTCCATCTGGAGAATGAAGGCCTGGTAGTGTTAACCCATTCAGCTGAAGTTCTTTGGAAGCACAGACAGCACTACATCACAACATCCTAAATCACTTTCTGTCTTTAGCCAAGCACTTGGCTACACAACATTATATCTATAATTGGGACAAGCTGGGGGTTGT